GGATGGGAGAGCACTGAGCAAACAGAGTCCATCCTCACCCCTCTGAGTCCCCAGCACGCTACCTGGGAGCATCCCCACAAATGTACAGGCATGGCAGAGCGGATGGGAGAGCACTGAGCAAAGGGCACCACGCATACCTGTCTGTGTGAGCTCCCCCATCTCGCACAGCGGGTGATTAGGGTAAAGAGGCAGGCCTTTTAAGGGGCTTTCAAAAGAGGCTCCGGATCCTTTTGACATGTGACTAACGAAAGCTTCCAGTTTAGGGTGATACGGTTTCCTAAAGAGACAAAACAAGAGAATAAAAAGACAAAACAGAGAATTAGTGGTCTAAAGAATTTTCAACCTCAGCAAGCAATATGTCAAATGGGTCAAGGCCTTTCCTACCAATAATAGATTTTGGCTCCATCACTTTTAAATTCAAATTTCATTATTATTTGACCTCTGACACTCACCCATAAAATTCCCTCTCTGTAAAGTCAGCCTGAGTCTCTCACCTTGGCTGAATTTGGCACTGGGGGATTCAGCTTTGCCCTCCCAACATTCTTCCCAACTTGTACCACCACCTCCTGGGCTCCCTCTCTGGAGCCCCCAACACCCATCCAGCAGTCGTGCTCTGGGCTGGGAGTTGTCCCAATTTTTCCCTTCCCTGCTCTTGCACGTGCCAACCCCCGCCCCCAATTGTGCAGATTCTTCCTCCTGGTGTGCTTCCATCCCTTTCTCCTTCACCCTCATAGCTACTCTCTGGCTTCTGGCCTCAGGCAGCTTTTGTCTAGGTGGCAATGTGCTCTTTGGCACTCCTGCCCTTTAACCAGGCCCCACTGATGTGCCTTCTCCACTGCCTCAGGGATCGACTTAATAAAGGCAACTCTGAGTCTGTCCTTCCCCATCACCGGCCATCCATGGCCACCTCCTGGAAGGTGTGCTGCCCGTCCACCTGACCTGGCCCTCTGCAACCTCACAGCGTGCTCTGGCTGCCCGGAGACAACACATACACACCCCCTCATTCTCTCCCACGCCCACAACTTTCTAGGTGCCACCTCTTCCTCCTATAAAATCTCCGTCACCCTTCACCTAGGGAACCTTTAATCCCTCATTTTTCTGACCTCTGGAGAACCTCCCTTTAGGAAAATTGTTAACGGAGTAAGATAACCAGGATCTGTGATGGCTCCTTACAGTTCACACTCTGCGGTTTGTGCACACAAGAGCTCATTTAATAGGAAGTGGTAATAAATATCGAAAAAACAGTTTATACAAGATCTGAGATTATGAGATTAGTTTGCTGTCACAAAGTATATGTGGTAAGTCTTTCGAATCACTAATATACAATTTCCCTGAATAATGGAATGACCTATGAATACACACATCTTTTCCTTGAATAATGGGATAGCCTATGAATGAATATGCATTTTCCAGTTGAACAGAAGAGGCCAGATAGAGTATAGTTCACAACTAAACTGCATAAGAATCAGCATGAAAAGAAGCAAAGATAAGGCTCGGTGCCTATAGCTCAACCGGCTAAGGCGCCAGCCACGTATACCTAAGGTGGCGGGTTCAAATCCCCAGCCTGGACCCGCCAAACAACAATGATGGCTGCAACCAAAAAATAGCCGGGCGTTGTGGTGAGCGCCTGTGGTCCCAGCTACTTGGGAGGCG